TTACTGCCCATGATCATCAATTCCCATACCCCTTCTGAATCCTTCTGTGGGTCAATCTGAGTTTGGTTTCTGTGCTGGGCTTTGCTGAGTGCAGACACCCCAGTGACACATCATAAAGCACAATTTTCTTTGTGGTTTAGGACTTTGGTTCCTCAGACCTGGAACAAACAGGCCACTGCCAACCTGACCTGGAGTACAGCTGATGGGGTGTAAATAACCCCTGAGCTTGCTGCTGTGAGTTAAAACAGAGTTTAAAGAGGTTTTAGTGACATTTTCAGCTCAGTTAACTCTTGCTGCCTGTCTGGCTGCTGGTCTGACTTGCTCAGTTTAGTGTTGAGAGGGAAAGGATAGGAGCAGGCATCTAAAGCACATGAATTTTATTTTTCTGATGATTGGACATGTTCAATTTTACAGCACTTATCAAAGCAGCCTAGAAAAGAAGAGTGAGTCTTAATTCAGCTCTGCTCTTACAGGCTGTACGTGTGTATGGCATGCAGTTGTGTTCTGTGGTCTTTCTGGCCCTTTTTTGCATTTTTCTGCAGACAGTTTCCCCCCTCTTCTGACCTCTGGAAGCCTACAAGCTGAAGAACTGTGCTGATTTATAGAAAGCAAGTGGAGAAACTTAGGCACTTTGAAGCTACTTATGTGCTTATCACTGTTCTGCTGCCTAAATTCCTAAATGGGAGATTGCAGAGAGAATGGTTTACAAAATCGTTGTGACTGAGGGGAGAGAGCTGAAAATAAGAACATTTTCTGACTGAAAAGGACACTTCTCTGAAGGGTGAAAGGGCAGTTCAGTTCACCCTCTGTCACTGCTGTGCCCACGTTTGTCCTGCAGTGACAGAGGGACAGTGAGGGACAGTGTCCGTCCCTGTGAGGGACAGCCAGGGGCTGAGAGGGGCAAAAGGAGCTGGAAAATCCCAACCCTTCAAAGCACCCCAGGCCCTGCACTGCTGGGTGATTCAGGCTAAGGCTGAGGTCTGCAAACTTTTTATTTCTAATTCTTTTTAATTGCTTTATTTATTAATAAATTACCATGTCTAAGTAGTGCTGCTGCCTCCTGGAGGAGGCTGGGAACAGGCAGTGCCACTGCAGGTCCTGTGGTTTTACTGCTGCTTTTCCAGGGGAACTCAGAATTTCTGCCTGTGCCAGCACAGCATTTCAGCAAACTGGGAGCTCACATCCAGGGATGTGTGTGAGGCCAGCTCCATTCTGTCAAAATCCTGAAAAATGCTTAGTTCTACACGTGCTGTATTAAAATGAGGCAGGGGCTCAGCAGCTCTCACAAGGCTGCAGTTTTTCCTCTCTGCAATTAAAATTGCTGCAGCAGCCACGGATGGAGTGTCACTGCAGCAATCCCAGCCAGGCTGTCCTCTCAGGGAAGCTTCTTCTCATATAAGCAGAGAGGGATTTAATTTAACAAACAAAACCTAAGGAATTTCAAACTAATCTCTACAACCTTCTATTTCTTCCACAATATATATTATAAGGGCTTTTAAAGGTCAGACTTTGGCTCAAAGAAAAATGCTACCATCAGATCTATCAGAAATAATGACTTTGTAAGAAATAAATTTGTGCCTCATCGACTGGGGTGTGAAGATATGATTTCCTTCCTTGGAATTGCTTAAGCTACAGGAATTGGAGAGTAAACATTCACGCAGTATGATCCTTTCCCAAGTCAATATTGTCCTTTCAATCCTGAATTTCAAATTCAATATTATCCTCCCTTAAACAAAGGCATGCTTGGAAATCAATGCTATTTATCTTGTCTACTGTAGCTATAAACATAGTTTAAATTTTGTTATAGATGAAAAATGCTCGTGGACTGAAAACAGCAGAAAGACAAATTCTTCCTGTTTTGCTGGTTCCTGGTGTCATTGCTGAGGGTGCATGACAACAGCCACCAACAAAATCACCATTTTCAAGTGGCAGCATTGCTCCTTGCACTATCTGGCTGCTATTGGGTTTTGTCTTGTGCTTTAATAAATTTATAACTTAAAGCAAAACAGAGCATTTAAAAAAAATATTTTCAGGTTATTGTCTGGGGTAAATTTTTTGTTGCTATGATCCTTCTTTCAGGGTTTGTTTGGTTTTTTGGGTTTTTTTCATGGTTTTCCAGGGGAATTATTGGATATAATTAGAGTGATAGAGTAAGCAAAAGCAGAAAATATTGTTTCAAAAAGTCCACACTGCTTGAGGGGAGACTCCTACTACATTTATTTATTTATTTATTTATTTATTTATATGGAGAAAACATCAGAAAAAAGACATCTGAGGAATGGAGAGAAGTCCAATAATGTTATTTGGGAGTCACTAAAAGTCTTTACAGCATTGCTGCAGGTAGAGGTTTGGCCTTGCCTGTCAAGAACAACCTTTAAACATTCCACACTGGTTAATGGGCTCTCAAACCAGTTATCCCAGCATGGCCCCAGCTTCATGTCCTTCAGGGATGAGCAAATCCAGGGATTTATCCTGGTGGGATTCTTCTTTCCATGCACCCCTCAGACAAGCTGGCTCTGGTGCTCTCACATCCAGCAGAGAAGTCACTTTTTTTCCCAAAGGAAGTTTACTCCAGTGACATCCTGTGGGCAGGAACCCATCTGGGACATGTTCAGGGACTCAGAGCAGTGATCGAGGGCTGGGGTTGAATAAACAAAAGGTAAATAGAAAATACCACACACGTGGTGAACATAAGCTAAAGAGCTAGAGGCCCCACAGTGCAGGAGCCCAGTTATTTCCTGAATTTTGCAATGTTTTGTACTGTTTAAGGAGAGTGGGGTTGGGTTTTGGTTGTCCTTTCTACTGTGTTGTGGTGAGCTCTTAGTAGTAGAAGTTACAACAGGAAACCAAAAAGGAACAAATAAGGCAAAGACAGAAGTGATTGTTTTCTGAATATTTGGAGCTCAGCAAGTAAATTATGGAATTCTCTGTCCGCCTCCAGTGCTCAGCCAGCTGTTCATAAAATACACATAATGACTGCTCTCTGGAGGGACAGCAGTGCAGAAAAGTGAATTGCAAGGATCTCTGAAATGCACTCAGGTTCCTTGGACACGCTGGGACTTCTCCATGGCATTTGGACCCTTGGATCTGGAGATTTTCTTGATTGCCTGGACTTTCTTTTTGCTTGGGGTGGTTGTGGGCAGTCGAGCACAAAATCCACACTTGGACTTCTGATCTGAAAACAACAAAAGCAGACAAAAAGCATCTGTGGGTTCTTTCTGATTTCATGCAAAAGGTTGGGAAATTTTTGAAGCCTTTTGAGCCAAGTTTAGATCACAAATTTAACTGCACAGTGGAGCAGAGCAACCCACGGGTCTTTTCAGTGGCACAAGTGTAGTACTTAGCATTCAGATGGGAACTCGTGTGCTGAGCCAAACCCAATTATTTGCAAATGAACCAGTGCCACACATCCTCAGGGGGAGGGCTGTAATACCAAGTGCTGGTTTGAAATGTCATCTTTTCTTTGGGAGAATTCTCTATAGATGAAGTTAGCTATTTTCAATCTAATTTTAGACAAACAGAAATAGGAATTCACTGGAGTTAGCAGAGAAAATTCTAACTCTGATCATCAAAGCCACAGCAGATTTCAGCCTGCTCCATTTTGAAAGTGATGGCAATGTGAAAACCAGGCTTTTCACTAAGGTTTGGCATTGTAACCAGTGCTGGCACTCACGGGCAGTGCTTTAATTATACATTATACTAACCAGTGTGAAATACTGAGCATTATTAAGATAGCCAAAAGCCTTCTTTAGAGTTGATTTATTAGAGCTTGAAATTAACTTTTCACAGTCCAGCTCCAAGAGATCTGTAGATGCTGAAGTTCAGCTCTGCCTGCAGCGAGCTGCCCATGGTTCTCTCCAGGGCTCTCCCCAGTCCCTCCCAGTGCCCAGGCAGGGGAAAACCCTGGTCAGCAGCAGCAGCTCTCAGCCTCCCTCCCAAACACCCTGTGCTGCTTGGGATGGTTTCTGGGAAAGGGGAGCTTTAGGAAGCCACCCTGGGCTCTGCTGGGTGCCCCAGGCTGGCTCTGCTGGAGCTGTTCCACGCTGGGGTGATTGCAGATTAACGTTTTTGCTGCTCCTGACACAATATTTGTTCAGGATATACCTGAGATATCAGGATATCAGGATATTGTCAGGAACTGTTAAAGCAAGTCCATCATCTGCAGATCTCTGCCAGCTGGATATGGGGAGGAGCTCCCAGCCTGACGGGATTTTAAATTTTTCTCTCAGCAACCTGAAAGCATTTTCACATTTCCAAACTCCCAAGTACAAGTTCTCTGATTAAATCTGTGGATCAGGGGCTCCCACATCTCGTGCTTTGTTTCTGTTTGATGCTGCAATGAAAGGCAGAGTTTGGAGCTCCAGGTGCTGCAAGGTAAAACTTCCTCCTGTTGAGGATGGCAAAAATGGGGAGCAAGGCACTCAGTGAGGCAGAGGCTGGCACAACACTTGCAGTAAATCTGGATTTAAATGGTGCCGGGGTGAGAATGTTGTCCTGTTGGGCTTTGGGTCTGTCCCAATAGCACAGATAAACATTTTGCCTTTAAAATTTGTCATCAGGATTGCTTAGGAGTCACAGCTCTACATCTGTGCTCATACCCAGTGATTCTTTGATGTTTTAGGCTCTGTGGGTACCAAGGCATCCCCTAGCACAGGCAGTGGTGCCACTGCCAGCGTGGCACGGGGTCACCTCTGCTCTTATTTTAGATGTGTCTGTGCCATTCCTTCGGGTGACTGATATATCCTGTCAGCTGGGTGGGAAATGCCAAACCTCCAAGAACTTGCAAGTGATTTGTTTGGGGTTTTGATCTCTGTTTTTTGGTTTTTTTTTGTTTTTTTTTTTTAATGACTCCGGGGAGTGTGTGATGAGCAGCAGCCCTAGGGGAAGCAGGAGCACGTTCACTTGGGCTGGGGGAGGCAGGGAGGCAGAGCCCCTTTCTGCTTCAGCAAAGCTGAGCCCCTCAGTTGACCCTGCCATGAACACCTCTGCTCTCTCTGCAGGTGACCTGTCTGCACGATTTCTTCGGGGATGACGATGTGTTCATCGCCTGTGGCCCAGAAAAGTTCCGCTACGCACAGGACGACTTTTCCCTGGATGAGAGCGGTAACATCAAACTCACACTGCGCTCTTGCTGCATTGCATCCCCATTTCCTATCTGATCACCATGCTGCATGCTTCTCTTCTGGCTTTTAAGACCCACTACATGGAATTTTACGTCCTTTTGGGATACTTATCCAGTCAGCAGTACTATAATCGGGCAACTACTGACTGAGGTATATTCAGAATAAATTAATTCCTGCAGCATTTTGACATTTAGTGCAAAATCTGGGAGTGTTTATACTTTCAATTTTCTCCAATCACATTCAGATAGATGCATTTTTCTTGAGAACTAATCATCCTTATGTAGACACATGCATATTAAAAATGGAAGCAAGCAACAAGTTGAAAAAAAAGATCACATTTCCACTGCTTACTTCAGCTGATTCAAAAAGCAGAGCAATAATTCCCTTTTTGGGGGCATGACTGGGACAGCACTGTTATTTTTCCTTGTCACCATTGCCAGCAGAAGTCTGTAATAATGTGAGTCTCTGTGATCAATTACGCCATGAAATCTTTGATTTTACAGAATATACAGGGCTTGCTTGTAGGACTTACCACCCACCCCACCTGGCAACTGTATCCACCTGTCTGCAGGTGCCAGTGAGTGCAGCAAGAGGAAATTGATGTCATTTTAACCATTTAAACTAAAAAAATGTGGTCTCCAACCATCTAGGCACACTTCCCAAAGCTCTAGGTGTGCTGTGTAAGGAAGACAAGGCCCATCCTGTCCTGTGTGCTGCAAACTGGCTCAGGTTTGAGGACCAAAGAGGATTTTTGCTGGATGCCAGGAAGCCAAGCAGCCTCTAATCTCCAAACACGGAGTTTTTTATTACTCCTTTGCAAGCCTGATTTTATTTTAGTGCTGGTCCTTCTGACCTGTGTACTCCAGATGAACCCATTTGATGGTCTTGGGATAACTCAAAGGAAGTTTCCAAGGTTCAGCTGAGACTTTGCAGGCAGAGAATTAAGCCTGTGTCAGGCTGGGGAAGTGATCTGTAAGCTGAGCTTCACGTTGTTTTTCACCACTCAGCACTTGAGTCAGCTCCACAGGGAGCTCCAGGCTGGAAAACAGCTTGGATGCAGTCCTGGCAGAACAACTGGATGGAAAACCCAGCTCTTGTGGGCACTGCTCACTTCTGCAGCTTGGCTTTCTCTGGCAGGAAGCAGCCGAGTTGCTGCTGGGAAGGCAGTGAGCTGCTCCAGAGGTGTTTAGGGGAGCCTGGCAGCTCTCAGGGAGCCTCAGCAGGCTTCCCCCTGCACACCCACCACCCTTCCTCGTTCCCAGGCAGATGCTGCCAGGAGAGCTGTAAATCCTGAGGTTTTGCAGATGAGTGTCACTTAATAAAATCTCCTCTGTCATGGGCAAATTCCTCTTGCCTGTTTGGATGACACACACCAGGATTGCTGGTTATTATGTTCACTCTGGCAGGACGTCAGGAAACAAAAAGAGAAACAGCACAAGAGAGGATTATGTCATCTTTTTCCTCCTGGCTGCCCACCACAGCTTCCACCCTCTAATTCTGCTGCTGAGCACCTTCCAGATGACATTGCTCTGTCCCTTTTGTACCCACTGGTTTCAGCATGATGGAAATGTCACATTTTGGTGACATTTTAGAGGCCTTTTCACACCAACCTCAGCACAGCCAGGTTTCCACCTCCTGCAAAAGCTCAGGGATTGCCTCTGGTGTGCTGACACTTGCCAAGGGCTGAGCTGGAGGAATTCCTCAGTCAGCCTTTCTGTGCTGGAAAATAAAAAGCCAGGTTTCCTTCCAAGGAATTACTCCCTTGGGAAGAACATAAATTTGGAAGCTCTTGCAAAGACCTAATATGAAGTATTTTTACTTTTCAATTTTGGGGTTTTTTTGGTAAGTAATTCAGGTGACTAAACACAGCTGCCTGACACCCTTTGAGTCCCCCCACAAGATCAGAACTGCTCTTCATGTATAAAAAAATGGGGCTATATTGGGGCTGGACCTCTACAAGCCTTTCTGTGACATTATCTGTGAGAATTCAAGTATTTTTGAAGGACAAAACCCCACAACTTTTTCTACCTCTGATTTACAATTTCCAAAATTAATTTAGCAGGAGAGAAAATAAGCTGACTGTAGGTTTAATTCTTGCCATGCAGCATCCCTGGAGCACAAGGCCTCCTCTCCTGACATTCTTTTGCTGCATGGCCCAACAGCAAAACTCTTTCTCAAACCATCCGGAAGGAGCAGAGGTGGAGCCTTGGCTGGCTGAGAATGAGGAAAGCCTGGGGGAAAATTTAAGGCAATTACATTTTCGTAGATACACTGATATATAATTAAATAACACATACATTTAGGTCAGACAGTTTGCTTTTGGTTGACCAATTATTTATCTGCTCTGTGCTGCCTTAATTCTTTTGGGGGCTCCATTCCAGGGGGTCCCCAGTGTGGAGCATGTGGGGCTGAGCTGAACTTTCCATAAAAAACTGCCTGCCTGTGGAACATGTAATTCACATCTGTAAAAAGACACATTTTTCACATCTTGGTGAAGACAAGCTGTTGGAGAAGATGAGGTGGAACCAGCTAACATTTGACAAAAAGGAAATCCCTTTTTTATTGCCTTCTTTTTAACTGGGTTAAGTTAATAACTTGAGGGGTGGAAAGTTCCTTTTCTGTTAGCTCTCAATGTAAATAAAGCCTGGTTCTGAAGATCAGGCATGCCTGAAATCCTGGACACGTGGAGGTTTGTTAGCATTTCACTTCCCCTCTGCAGGACTCTGTAGATCATGTTTACATTTTCCACTCTTCCTGGCCTATTTATTTTTTAGGAAAGCACAACAGGGGTCCTCATCTGTTCACATCTTCCAGTACATAAATCTGCTGGGCTTGTTTATACAAACCTTGCTGAAAGGGTCGAGTGGCCAGGACAGAGGATGTGCTTTGTAAAACCATTTTGTCTCCTTTGCTTTGTGCATCTGAAAAGTTGCAGCTTGTTGAGGGCAGGAGAGGCTGGTTCCAGCTGGGTGAAAGCCTCCTGGGGCAGCTGCCCCATCTGCCACTTGGAGACTTTATTTACAGCACACCATAAGCTGTTTGCTGGCTTTCTGCACCTGCAGAAAGGGCACTCACCATTCCTGGTACTGGGTCTTCATGGAAGGGTGACAGCAAATTAACTGGATTTTCTTGGCCCGAGTGTTCCCTTAGTCAGAGCACGTTTTCATTTTGCTCATGAGAGCCCAGGGAAGGGGAAGGGCAGAAAATGTTAGGTAGGACACAGGTAGGAGCCAGCCTGACACTCACAGAGTCTCAGCACCTCCTCTAGAGGAGCAGAGCTGTGTCACTACAGGACACGTGGAAGCACAACGTGAGCCACTGCTATTTGCAAGGTAAAGAAGAAGGTTTATTCTCTGACCCCAACTTTTCCAAAGGTGACAATGGATTGGAGAGTGAATGGGCCACCTCTCCAAAGACATTGGACAAACCACCAGTACATCAAGTTTCTCCACCCCCATGAAGAAATGCAAAACAATATGTTGTTTATAGAAATTGTGTGGGAAGGTTTTCTAACAGAATGTGAACTCAGAAGGCTTTAGAAAATCTTAAGAATCAGGGTGACAGAGCTGTTCTCTTTGCCCTGCCCTTGAAGAGTCTCCTTTCAGCCCTGGAGAACAAGGGATGGTATCAGCTTTTCCCTTGCCCTCGGTGTTTCCTGCATCTCTCTGGGGACCAGGCACTGAGCTGCCGTGGCTGTTTCACAGCAGGGAGCAGCAGGGCCATAACCAGGTGGGTCTGTGTTTCCCCAGAGTGCCGGGTGATGAAGGGGAGCCCAGCAGGTGCCACGGGCAGCAAATCCTCCCCCACCCCTCAGAAGAGCTCGGCCAAGAGCCCCGCGCCCATGCGCCGCAGCAAGTCCCCGGCCGATTCAGGTAACCACCAAGATGGTGAGTGATTCTTCTTGTGTCTGGCTTCCACTGGGCTTTCACTGTTCCAGTTTGTGCCACTGGAAAGGCACAAACTCTCTCTGTTTGCAAAGGAAACTCGGGTGTCTTTTGGAAACCAGAAACTACAGGGGTGCTAAATGAAGATTGGGAAGGAATCTCCTGGTTGGTGAAATGCGGTTGTAGCTTGAGGTTGTTCCAGCCACAGTCACACAGACTCCTTCCTCAAAACTATTTTAAAAGAAGTTTCTATTCCCCAGGCAGGAAATCAAGGCCCACAGTGCTCCCAGATGATCCCTGCAGATAGAAATTTAGGGTAGCCTCCTGTGCAAACAAATAGTGATTATTGCACAGGTCAGGAGTGGCTCCTCGCAATCATTACTTAAAGGAGACCAGTGACCTTGCAATTGCAGAACTGCTGATGGGTTTATTGATGTGACACTGAGACACTCATTCAGTAATGGAAGAGAGGGAAAATGGGAATCTTAATTTGCTGCAGCAGCTTGCACTGTTTGAAATGCCTCCCTCCTCCTTCAGTAGCACCTGGGTTGGCAGCACACGTGGAGAGCTGCAGGGCTGCCAGGCCAAGGCTGGGCTGCCTATTGCAGTAATTCTGGTAACTGATAGTTCTTAGAGTCATGGGGAGTTTCTGGGGTTATGACTGATCTCTCACCTGCCTGCCTGTTCCGTTCCAAAAAAGAACCAGACATGGTCTCTCAATAAAATGGCCAAATCATCATTAAACATGTCACAATTCCAGGAGAGCTTCACAGCTTGAGTTCAGGTGTCCCACAGCATCCACACAGGTGACAGAAAACAGAAATTCCTTTTCACCATCATGCTAACATGCTGCATATTGCATGGCAGCATCACACAACAGCTGACCGTCAGTAGAAATGGGATTCTTAGACAGAAAATTCTCTTGGCAGTAGTCAGAAGGATTTCCCCCAGAAAGCAGTTTATTTGTTTAAGTTCTGTGAGTGTTCTTCAGCTACCTAAAAAGATAGTGTGAGATTGGTTGGCAAATGCCAAGACTCTGTATTTTTTTTAAAAAATATTTATCTCTAAGTGGATTCATAAAGTTTTTCTTCAAGATTCCATTGTTGGCTACTCTCAAAGTCAGGCTTGCCTGAGTTTAACCACTTTCACAACCCCAAATGCCTGCTGAAGCTGTGTGGGCACACTGAAGGCACGATGGGAAACGTGATGTTGATTTACAAAAACCCCAAAGTAACACTCAGTGATGGGGGAGTCAGCTCATGCATGAGCAGCTTTAAACTTTCTCCACAAGCATCAGGTGCTGATTCCCACCAGAATTAGAGTTTACTGCATGAGCATAGAGTTTAATATGAAATGGCAATTATTGTGTGCCTGATTTTAACTGACTGAGCGACTCCAGGCCCAGGATGGTGACTCATCTGATGAACTTTAATGAACACACTTAGCAGAGCTTTTCAGGGGGAGATTAAAACAACCACAAAGGCTGAACAATAACCAGTTCCTGGAGTTAAAGTCAATAATGAAGAGCAAATCAGGTTTCTTTAATCAGTCCAGACAAGAGTCTTTCGTGCTTTCCTGTAATTTCAATAAAGGAAAAAGTGCCCCTTGTCCTGCTTAATGAGAATAAAAAAGACTGAGCTCTTTTAGTAGAAGACTCTTGTTCTCTCAGGACAGAGAGAAAAAAATACCATTTTGTATTCTTGTATTGAATTGGTAATAAATTAAGTGGATTTACACATCTTTTAAGAATCAATATTTACATTTAGATGAGATTTGGAGCTATCACATTCAAAAAGCAAAGAAAACTGAATGAAGTCTGATTAATAAAAGATGATCTGACCTATTTTTTTCTCCCCAGAATCTCACCCATTTAATGCGTGAAACTATTTAAAAGCAGTTTTACTTCAAATATATATAATATTTCTGCTGTGTGTTTGCTCTCTTACCCATTTGTACCTTTTGTCTTTGTTGTCTTTCACTCTGCTGTGGTTGTCATGTGTAAACTCACGGGTGTTTCTTTGGTTTTGTGTTGTTTCTGTTCTTTCCAGTTCTTTTCTGTGTAGGTTTCTGTATCCCTTTTTTCCCACCAAGGGCTCCAAGGCCATTGTGACATCTGTGGTCACTGATGCCTGTGCAGGTTTGGAGGGAAATCTTTGTGTGAGAGGAATCTGAACCCTCCACAGAAGCAATTTAAACATTGTTTTCTTGGCACGGTGCTTTTCTCTTACCATGCAGTTGTTTAAATGAATGAATGAAAATTAAATTAATTAATGCAGAACAAAGAAGTGGCTCCTTGCTCTAAGGAAATGGAAGCTCACCCCAATCCTTGTATTCCCAAGGGAAATCCTTCCTCCCTTCCCTCACTGGCACCTAACCCGTATTGGTACTTCCTAAGCAATGCCAGTGGATTTCTGGCAAAATTGGAGTTACAAAGCTTCTATGTATTTCTAACCTCATTTTTTCTTCCTGGGGAGTCAGCTTTGCCAAAAGACACAGCTCAGAGCAGTGAAATCCATACTAAACCACACCTGCAGGGCACCAGCCAATTCCTTCTCCTAACATGGCAGAGGAAAGCTGGGCATAAGGGGAGAAGCCTCTGTGCTTCTGCTCTGATCCATGAGATTTAAATGGACTAGGGTCAGCATGAAGTTTGGCAGAATTTCTTTAACAGACTGCTCCAACAAGGAGTCAGGCTAAGCAAAAGCCAGAGCTAAATCTCAGGGGAGAAATACAGGAGAGAAAATAATGATGTCATTTGCCATTCTTTCTTTGTTATAAAAACTTGAATTTATCTTACATTAACTGACATGCCCAACAAGGGTTCAGTTGTATAAAAACATGTGCTGTGATGGGAGAGCTTATGATTGTTAAAACATAATAATCACAGGTAGCTGAACTGAAATCTGAAAATGTCTTTGCCTTGATTTGACTTGGGGAAAATACGAGCAGGGCTCTGAGGCTGCTGCAGGACCTTAATGTCTTAGTCCACTAATGGACAGAGGGACAAAAGCACATTCAGCAGGCAGCACAATTAGCAAACAGACCCAGAGTGTCTGTCTGTCCTGGCTGCAGGGCTGCTCCCAGGGGTCATTATGGATGAGTGTGTCCAAAGGCAGCAGATGTCCAGGGAGTGCCACGATGTCTCAGGTTTTGGCTTTTATATTTTTCAGATTCTGTGCTGCTTTAGTGTGTGGGTCTGGGCTTCATATTATGGGATGCTGAGCTCTCTGCACAGAGCAGGGACACAAAACAATTCCTGCTCCAGCTGGGCACCAAGGACAAATGATCCAAATCTCAGCCCAGGAGCACAAACAGCGTGGGCTGGAGAGAGAAAAACAAGCAGGGTGGGGCTGCCTGGGCTGGAGCTGGAATGGGACAATGAACTCCAAGTGCCAATGGAGCAGAACTGATCCCAGGGAGAGCCCCGGGAGCGCTCGTGCATTTTGGGACCATTTTGGGTCATTTGGGTGCAGCCCTGGCTGGGCTCTGGTGCTGCCCAAGGTGGATCCATGGAGGAGAACCTTTTAATAAATCCCTGCTTTATTCTTTAGCTCTGTCCAGCCTCTGTTCCAGGTCAGCTTTCTCAAAGCCACATGGGACAGAGCAGCTTGTCCCCTGTTTGTCCCCTGCTTGTCCTGCTCACTTCCAGCCCACAGGGCACACCCAGGAGAGATCTCCTCACCAAACACGGGGAAAAGGGTGCCAGCACTGCAGAGCTGAGTGCCTGGAAGTTTGGAGGTGCCTGAGCAAAGGATGTCTGTGCAGTCTGAGTTCTTCCATTCCTGAGGGTTTATTTTTCTGTCCTGAAGGGCAGGATGGCTCATGCTCTCTGAACATGCTGCTGTTCCTACATTTGCTTCCTGCTGTCCTTGTTCTGCTTGTTCCCTTTCTTTATTTTCTTGGGGGCACTTCAAACCCTGTATTTCATGTTCCTTCCTCTCACTCTTGTGGTGTACAGGCTCCTCAGACTGGGATCTCATTTGCAGAATCCTGGGAACCCCAATCAAGCACAGGTTATTAACCTTATTTAACAAATCAGTAAAAATAGATATCTCCACACATTTTAAGCACTCACTGTGAGCCTTGGACCCTGCTTTTTCCATTTCTGTTTGTGGACAGCAATGTGAGTTCAGAAGATGGATCTCACTAACCTCATTTGCAGGTCTTGGTGCTTATCACCACTGGGAATTTGGATCCAGAGCCCAGGCCATCCCAGCAGACCTAAGCAACACTCAGGGAACAGCTCCATGTGAGAAACATGCCTAAAAAGCATCTCAAAAAAGGCTGAAGAGGGACTTTTGACAAGGGCATAGAGTGATAGGACAAAGGGAGAATGGATTTAAGCTAAAGGAGGGCAGGTTTAGATATTAACAAGAAATTCTTTGCTGTGGCACAGGATGCCAGAGAAGCTGTGGCTGCCCCTGGATCCCTGGAAGTGTCCAAGGACAGGGTGGACAGAGCTTGGAGCAGCCTGGGATGGTGGAAGGTGTCCCTGCCATGGCAGAGGTGGGATGGGATGAGCTTTAAATCCCTTCCAACCCAAACCGTTCTGTGATTCTGAAATATCTGTGAAGGAAGCAGAGAGAGAATTCAGTTTACCTGGATCTCTCCTCTCAAACATGACAGGAATATTCTCCATGCTCCCTCTCCTGTGCTGGACAAGCCTGATTTCTCTCCTGAGTACAAACTGCACAGGGGGAGGTGAGGATCCTGTGGAAAAAGGTGCACTGCTCCTGCAATTAAAGGATATGATATATGCACTTTAAGGTAAATTGATGTTGCAAAACAAATACAATGCCATGAATAAGCCATAATGCACAAAGACTAAAATGGTGGAAAAAACCCCAAAGAATCAAAATGAAACCTGGTTCTAAAGAACAGTTCCAAACAGCTGAGTGTAGGTGAGATCCTGAGCTACCCTAAATCATCAGCAGATTTTAGTGGAGCAGCAGTGTTACGCACCACCTGGGACATGCTCTTTGCCTCCTGTTATTTTCTTGCATTTCAGTTCAAAGGAAATGCAGGCAAGTTTGCTTATTAACACTATTCTTCATTAGCAGGCAGAGAAAATTAAACTGGGCTTCTTCATTGTTGCTCCTGCTGCAAAATTCTGCTGTATTTGTAATGATATCCATCCATCTCGTTCCATTTCTGATGTGGATGTCACATCTGTTTTTCTGTTGATGCTCATAAAATATTTACACGCCTGCTGTAGCACTTAAAACTCTCATTGTATTAGGGAATTTCTGTTCTGCCCTGCAGCAATTGCATCCATTTTGCTGCACACTGCCTCTGCTGTTGTTCCACTCTTGTTTGTGGAAAGGAAATTGGGGATTCTTGCAGAGTTGTTAGGGGGCATTCTTCAGCTTAGGAAAGATCGGTGACAACTAGAGGTAAATAAAGAGTAATTTTAGAAATTGGAAATGGATTCTGGCTAATGGAGATTCTATCAGTCCTCTTGTTCCCCACATTTTCTTTAATAGGAAACACGAAATCACTCAGTGAAATAAAACATAAAAGAGATCCAAGTTATTTTTTACTGAATTGCCTTCATTATTTGGCATATAGTTAGAGAATCCTCCTTTTTTTCCCACCAGCGTGGAAGGCAGCTCATTTTGTAGATTGGCACAGCCCAGTGCAGGGGCCAGCAGGAAACAGCTCCTGCCTTTCCAGAGCAAGTTTTCCCCCGCTATCAATAAAGAATGGATTGAATGAGATAGGGAGCTGAAGTGTCACTCTGTTCCCCAATTATCTATAAATCATTATTTTTACCACCTTTAAAAAAGAACCATTTCCTCAGTTAGGTGCATTTGTAATAGGAGAAAAGCTGTGTGTGATGAATGACCTCCTCTTCCAACAGAGGGGTTAGTGCATGGAAATGATGGATGTGAAGGCAGAGGAGCCACATCACCATGAATTTGTTGCCTCAAGGTGCTGGCAGCTTTGTCCCGGGGCTTTGAGCACGTTTCTGTTCACTCCTGTTTGACCTCTGCCTTTGCTGCAAACCTGAGCTGCCCCTGCTCCTCACAAGGAGGCAACAGAGAAGAGGAGTGAGGCTTTCTCAGGCATTAAAGCAAGAGCTGTGCTGGTTTTACTCTTACAAATACAGCATTCAAACTTTATGATACTTTATACACTTCTTCAGTCTCCTCCAGACACTCAAGTACTTGATGAATTCTAAGTTACTGATTTGTAGATTCAGCTGTTACAGTTGAAACCACAATTCCATAAGGCTCTTTGGTCACTTAATCCCACCCACAGCAAACTACAGCCAGGGCATTCCAGGATGCTGTTTGTCTAATTTTTAATGTGTATAATCGACATCTGACATTGCTTGGGTAGGATTCAGGATATCTTCAGCCTCTGGTTTCCAGTCATGCCCCTAAACAGTTTAAGAACACAGAAATTGTCTTTCTGTTTGTCTGGTGATATATGCCTTGGATCGACTTGGTGAATATTTGTTGTGTGAAATATTGCTCCCTGAATTTGTTTTGTATCTCACTGTATTTTGCAGCCACCCTGAGCAGCTGAAATCCTTATGTTTATAGCTATGCTGTTCACTTGTTTTATTTCCTCCTGCCTAATATGAATAAACCATGGTGTTAAATGTTTGGAGACCTTCCATCTCCTCAAAGGAGAAAAATCTTCCCGTTGCTTGCCTGATTTGCAGCTTGTATCTTGTTTTCTGCCAGCCAACGGGACCTCCAGCAGCCAGCTGTCCACTCCCAAATCCAAGCAGTCCCCGATCTCCACGCCCACCAGCCCCGGGAGCCTCCGGAAGCACAAGGTATTACGTTTCTTATACCTTACTACAGCTCCTTCTTATACCTTACTACAGCTCCTTCTGCCCCAGCCCCTCAGGTCTGCGTGACACTGAAGTCATGGCCATATCCTCTGGCAGAGTAACAACAACTCCTGATGTTCAAATGCCGGAGCTCACCCTGGGTCAGGGTGGCTCTGTGTGCTGGAAAAGTCTCTCCTCCAACCCGAGCTTCCAAAGAAAGGCTCAGCAGTCTCTGTTGTTCAGTCTCAAGGCAGTTTATTGCAAGTTATCTAAAAGATTTTCTCCTGGGGCTGCTGTGGTTTGCTCACAGCTCAGGCAGAGGCACACACACACCCTGACATCCTCTCTGACCCCGACTGCTTCTTCTCTCCCACCCAGGGCTGCTGCTGTCTTTTATATGGTACATTATGTGTTACATGGGTACAGTTTTTCCCAATGCCTATTACCCATATTAAATGGTGATTTTCTATCTTTTATATGGTACATTACGTGTTACATGGTTACAGTTTTCCCCCAATACCTATTACCAATATTAAATGGGGATTTTCTGCTCTAAACCAATCTGGGAGTGCCAACATCACCAAGAACATGGAGGGAAGGAAGAAGGAAGAGGGAGGACAGGGCAGGCCCAGATCCCTCCATCTTAAAACCTCTGACCCCCATGTACAAAACCAAAACTCCCCTGTACAGCACTCAAAAATTCTTCCCTCTACTTTGTGACTACTTCTACTCTAATATCTAAACTTTTGTGACTTCTTGTTCTTCCTGCAAGGTTGGTAAATCATTCCATGGCTCAAACCCAAAATCACAGCTGTTTCCAGCTGCCTGCCAGGGTCTCAAATGCTTCTGACTGGGGCCCGGAACCTCCAAAAATGTCTGAGGGACATTTTGAGTTCCAACATTCAAACAGGGGATTTTGGCCCTTTACCTATAAAAGTTGTCCTTTTGGGCAAGGTGGTGAGTGAAGCACTGGCCTGACTCCTCACCTGGAGTTGTTAGTGTGTGCTGGAGACATACAAAGGGATCACAGGAGACAACTTACCCATGAGCTTGTATCACTGTTTGAAAAAAATCATTGATGGATGTGGTTTCATGTCAACTCTCCTGGCCTGAAAAGCCTCCAGTCTTGCCAAATCAGGCCCATCAAAGACTAGAAGCAACACAAATGTTACTGCAGCTCTGAGACATCACTTTAATGATGCTCCTGAAGAATTTAATTTCTTGAATTATTTAAGGCCTTGCTCTGTTTTACAGGAAGCAGGTGATTCTTGCAGCTGGTGTGGTAATTGTGTTGTGGAACAGGCCAACAGGTAGCACAGCATCCTGGCAGAGATCAGGAAACCTGTGCTGGCTCATGGATAATTCATGTATTGATTTATTTAAAAGGTACAGCAGCTGTCACAGCTTTTTCAGTTCCTGTTATTCAGGGCCACTCTGTGCTGAGTTCTGACTTCCATTTCCATTTCTGGGATAGCCACAATGCTGCTTCCAACAGTTTTCACTTGATAGGGGAACTGGAGCTTGGACACAAATGTAGGTATGAGAGGAAGTCGGGGGGTTTCTCCTTAGTAAACAGAATGTACCTCTCAGCCTGACTTTGAAAGCATTGACTCCAAGTTTTTGAAGAGTAATTTAAAAATTCTGGTGGTTTTTCAGTCAATGTAGAACCCACTGTGGGCCACGTTGCAGGAGTTGAACTAATTCTGTTTAACAAAGGCATCGCTGAATCCAAATGAAAACTGTTTTCCTTGGGACCTCACTCTGTTTTCAACTGCTCAGTCTAAGTTTAAGAAAGCACACCAAATTTAACACAATGTGTCCAGGTTTATTATTAATTTATAATTGAGGACAGAATCTGGCCCATGGTCTCAGTTCATCAGTTGAGCAGAAGTGATGCTGCAAACTGCATCCTTTGCTTCAGCATCAGGGACACAAAATATTTTCTAAACTTTCCACCTCACTGAGAACTTTGAGGGGAGGATTTGTTTCTCGGTCAAGAGAAGTAAAATCACCTTTTTAATGTTTTATGTATGTTTGCAGCTGGCTGATTCATCACCTTTCCAGTGCAGCCCTGAGACCATTTGTAATAGATGGTGATTCCTGAGGGCAAAGCCAGCCCAGCTATGATTTTCTCCACTAAATTAAGCCAATCAGCAAACACAAATGCAGCATTTTAGGTTACCAGAATATTCATGCATCATTCTCTTTTCTCCCAGTACCAGTTTCCTGCTCATGATGAAATCGCTTTTCTTTTCTCCCCTTAAAGCTCAAGTGATAAATGCTTAGGTTGAGTTCACCACAAAATCCTATTTTACCACTTCTTATATCAAGATTTCTGTGAATTTCCTTCCTGAATATTTGGGTTTTTCTTAATTTTGCTCACAGTTATTACCTGTGTGTGGGTCAGAGTTCAAAAAGGTCCCAGGAGAGCTTTAGCTCTTGAGCTGGTTCCTGCACCTTGTCCCACACTGGACTTTAAACAAGTGAAATAAAATGGTTAGCCCAGAAAGGGACATTAGAAAAGCTTCACATTAAGCATTTGATACAAATTATAAACTTGGGATTATTTTCTTAACCTTTCCAACTGATTAGAAGTTACTTAAAATAAAGAATACACCATGGAACATGTGATTTTCCTGGATATTTGTCCTGAGGGCAGCTGACAAACCAAGGTAAGACTCTTTATTTTGGACTCAGGTTTAAAGAGATGTGTTTAAGGCACAGTGCTGCTCTTTCATGCACGTGCTGGAATGGCCAGATTGATCCAGAACAATAAAATTATCCCTGAACAGTCAGCAGGAACAGAGATGCTTTTTGCTGGAATGGACACATTGATCCAAAACAATCAAAAAACACTTCTGAAACTTATCCCTGAACAGTCAGCAGGAACAGAGATGCACTTGCTGGAATGGACACTTATTGTAAATGTAGGTGAACGCAATGGGAAGAAATGAGGATGTCTGACTCAATTCAGAAGGCTGAATTATTTCTTTATTATAACTATGCTAAAATAAATCAATATGCTATATAAAAGGAGGATACTCAAACTACATACTGCTTTCTCTGACTCTCACACAACTCGTGACCCTCTCTGAGAGCCCGGCCCCCAGTGGGTTGGATTGGATTGGATTGGATTGGATTGGGTTGGGTTGGGTTGGATTGGATTGGATTGGATTGGATTGGATTGGATTGGATTGGATTGGATTGGATTGGATTGGATTGGATTGGA